CTCGCTGGGCTAGGAAAAGGATGGTTTCAACTACTTCTATTGTTCTTGCCTAGCCCAGCCTTTTCTGTTGGCCTGGAACACACAGCAAATCTGTTTGGCTGCCTCATGAGATAGTTTTCTGTAAGAGGGCACAGTGAAAGGAAGGAAATAGGTGGTGGTAGCTGGAGGGGCCCGTGTTGCTCCTGACTCTAGCTGCCCTTCCCCACTCCCAGGGAAAAAAAGAAGCTAAAAGACCACTGGAGGGGCCGCTGCCAGCTGCTGTTGGAACTGTGCCCGGCCTGTGTGTTCTGTGCTTTCTGCCCTCTGCCCTAACCTGGCTCTCCAGAGGGCCTATCAAGGATCCTAGAAAAGTTCAGAGTTCTAGCTGTTTGGGAGCCAGTCTCAATCCCAGAGGCAATTTAAGATTTGCTGTAAGGGCTCACAGGGATTGCGGGCCTGTGTTCTGTAAATCCAATTAGACACTAGCAGACAGGTCTGTGTGAATCCGAACTCTCACTAAAGGGGTGCTCCTTAGCTGAGGAAGATCCTGCCCCGTGTCCTATGCTTGCCGCCCTTCCTGGGAATAGGGGAAGAACAAAATCCTAACTGTGCTTTGACTACAAGAGGATGACGGTCCCCATAGCTGAGACGGGCACCCTGGTCATCCAGTAACCCCGAGCAGCTCTTTAAGATAACATTAGAGACTAAGAACTGAGGGTTGCTTTGTCCCAATGTTCCCAACTATCCTCTTGCTTGGGGCAGGCCCTGGGGTGGCTACTAAGGATTTGGGGGTGAAAAAGAGGCGCTTCCTACAGTCAGGGAATGTGTGAGTAAGGACACAGGAAGGGCTTGAGTTTACAGATGGATACTGCCATCAAAAGTTGTTGCTACCTCTGGAGAACTGTAGAAGTACTTCTAACATTCCCCCTTCCCATTAAGCTAACTTTACCTATCTCCCTCACAGCATGGTCCACCCTCCATGTCAGGTTGCTGGCTTACAGTGCAGGCATCCCTCCCAGCCGCAAGCAGCACAAAGAAGCCAACTAATGACCCTGAAGTTATCTCAGCTTTATTTAAACTGTGCATACTGGTGCCAGGGAGATGGTTTAGTCTAGTGCTCTTGTCTTGCAAGCAGCGGGACCTGCGTTTGATCCCCAGAACCCATGTAGAAAAAAGCCTGGCATGGTTGCTCACACTTGAAATCTCAGCACTGAGGAGGCAGAGATAGGCAGATCTATGGGGCCCAACAGGCCTAGCTCACTTGGCATACTCCACGTGAATGAAAGAGCCTGTCCCAAAGTTAGGTGGACAGCATTCCTTCGATGTGACACCAGAGGTGGTCTTCCAGCCCCCAGGTGCACGTGCACCCCCACACACCTGTCCACCCCCTCAGAACAAGCTTGCACAAACATACAGACATACACAATTTAAACAGGTAAATCAATTACACAGCCTGAACTAAAAAGGGAAGAAGGGTTTCATTTATAAAAAATAAAGTTGAGTGGTTGAATGGACCCATTAAAGGCAAATTAATGAAACGAATTGCTGTCCTCAAATGTTAGGAAGATAAATCAGATGCCTGTCTAAAATTGAATGAGGTCTTCATTCTGATCCTTTTGTGAAAGCCTTTACACTCTTACTTAAAAAGGGGGGGGCTGGAGAGGTGGCTTGGTGGTTAAGAGCCATGACTGCTCTTGCAGATCCTGGTACAGTTCCCAGGACCTACCTGGCAGCTTACAGTTCTAAGGGCTCAGATGGCATCTTCCGCCTCTGTGGACGCCAGGCACCACATGACACAGACACCACACATGCAGACAATACACCTGGAGACATTAATAAAAAGCATTAAAAAGAAAATTAATGCTAGATCTAGGGGATCCACCTCCTCTTTGGCCTCTGAGGGCACCTAGATACACATGGGATATTATATATGTACACATAAATAAAAAAATTTTTAAATTTAAGTAAAATTTAAAACTGTAGATAGGATGCTATGGAAATGGATTATTTAAGAGCCAACAATTACCGTGCTCATTGGCAAGTAAAAGCTCTTTATATAAAAAAATCAACAATTAAGTCTAGTCATAGGGTTTTTGTTTGTCCCCTTGCTTTTTGAGACTAGGTTTCTTGTAGCATAGGCTGCCTCCAAACTTGCTAATTAGCCGAGGATGACCCTGAAGTTCCAATCCTCCTGCATTGACCTTCCAAACACTGGGGTCGCAGGCATGTGCCACACCCAGGACAGGCAGTGGTCTCAGTTTAGTTTCTCCAAAATTAGAAGTAATGGGGCATGGTATGCACACCCCTAACACCAGCACTGAGGAGGCAGGGACATGGTGTGCACACCTGTAACATCAGCACTGAGGATGCAGGGACATGGTGTGCACACCTGTAACACCAGCACTGAGGAGGCAGGGGCATGGCAAGCCATGGTCCTACATTGAAACTCTGTCTCAACACAATCAAACAGACAAAACTCAAACCAGCTGACACACAGGAAAAGTAGTTCGACGTCACCCCTCATCAGGAAGATGTAAACCCTCCGCACCCTGACCTGGTAACATCACATCAGAACCAGGATGCCACTGATGAGCAGTGACAAAGTGTGAAGAGAATGGGATCCTTCTAACCTTCTGGTGGGGACAAATGTTATCTACAGTCACTTGGAAAATAGTTTGGCATTCCTTCAAAAAACTGAACATTGAGTTAATTATGTGATCGGTGACTTCAAACGTGTGTGTATGTGTGTGTGTGTGTGTGTGTGTGTGTCACTAGCACATGAGAGTTTGGGTGCACATCCCTGTATCCACAATCCAGAGGCCAGAGGAAGACACAGGGCGTCTTTCTCTGTTGCACTGGGTTAGGATCTTAAGATAGGATTTCCCTGATCCAGAAACTCTCCACTTTGGCTAGGCTGACCAGTCAGATAGAGCTTGGGATCTCCTAGTTCTTATCACCCATTCCCAGGACTCACTCTTTGATAGCTTGGTGAGAATCCCAAAGGTTCCACAACCTCACAGAACAGTGCCACCAGCTGGGGACCAGCTAGCTGTTCAGACACATGAGCAGGTGAGGGACATTATACATTCAAACCATAACAGAGTAGTGTAGTGACTGGAGGTGGTGGCTGAGGAAGGAGGAAGTATTGATCCAAAGATACAAGCTTTCCATTAGATGAGACAAATGGGTTTATGTTCTCTACAGCACATTATGATTAGTGACCATAGTTAATGACAATACATCATATACCTGAAAATTGCTTAAATAGCTCAATGTACACTGCATGCTACAATGTAGCCTATTCTACAACGCAGACAGATACGTTGAGCAACATGAATATACAATAAAAACCAAAAATAACTTGTCAATCAATTTTCATATAGGGCTACTCTTCGTTACATCTTTTGTAGAGAATTTAGATAAATCATTTCTTCTAGAAGGAGGAAGAGGAGGAGGCAGAGAATTCCTGTGCAGCATTTATTATTTTTTTGTTCCTGTCTATTGTGGGCCAGCCTCTCTACCCTCCCACTGTTTGGTCACATACATTAGTAAGATGACAGTTATACTCGGGCATCACGCTACATGCCTATAAGCTAAGCACTCAGGATACAGAGGCAGAAAGAATGAAAGTTCAGGAGAGTCTGGGCTACATAACCAGACTCTATCTCTAATAAAATAATGACTCGGGGCTGACATGATGGCTCAGTGGGTAAAGGCACCTGCTGTTAAGCCTGACAGCCTGAGTTCAATCCCTGGGACCTGTGTGGCGAGAGAAACAACTCCAAGTTGTCCACACATGCACCATGGCACCTATGATACACACACACACACACACACACACACACGCACGCACGCACGCACTCACGCATATACATGCACACTCACATGCATGCACATACATGTACACGATGGATCTGTGAAATGTAAATAATGAATAAACAATAAATACAGCCCTTTGTTTAAACTGGCTCAACTTTGGGTTCCTACGATTTATAACTAAACATTATTAACTAATTCAGTTGATCTAACGTGAGCAGGCTTGGTGCCATGATGGTCAGGGAGGATGGTAGGTATTCATCCTCTCAGTCATCAGGGACTCTGCCTGCATCTTGGATTCCAGTAAGGAAGGGACTCTTTCTGCCATAGATTGGAGCAACCCTCCCTGCGGCTACAGTGTAGCACATCCGAACAGAGACCATGACGGCAGAAAAGCACTGGGGCTGGAGAGGATCCACAGGATCTAGTCTCAGACAGGAGTAGCTCTGACATCAGAAGTCCAGAAGGGTGACTAGAATTTTGCTAAGGCCTGCTTAGTCAAAGCCCTTCGACCAAGTATTTCCTCATCTGGGGCCGGAGAGCTGAGCGTCAGTTGGTATGGGATACATGTGTGCCTCTTTACACAGGGCCAGGGATTGGAAGTTTTTCTCAGAATGAATGAGAAGGTAGGCAGGGAGGGAAGGAAGGAGAAAGGGAGGGAGGGGCAGGGAGGCAGAAGAATGAGCTCTGAACTGGATCTTTGCTTCTGTCAAAGCAACCCATGAACACTGGTCTTAGAAGAAAGTAGCGCACTTTGCTAATAAAAACAGACCGTGGCTTTCCAAAGTCTCAGCACTTGAGTGATGGAGGTAGAAGGAACTACACAGAGAGTTTGAGGTCAGCCTGGGCTACATGAAACTCCCCCCTCCACACCTTTTTAAAAATTAAAACAATAAGGTTGGGGAGTGACTAAGAGCAAGTCCCGAGTATTCTAGCAGCTGAGTTAGGGGGCTCAGACCACGCAACAGCCTGTAACTCCAGCTCCAGGGCATCGGCTGCTCTCTCCTGCATCATCTTCTGCTTCCCCTGGGCCCCTGCGCTGACACACACACACACACACACACACACACACACACACACACACACAGAGGCAGACATACTCACACACATACACAGTCACACGCATACACAAGTTAAAAAGTAAATTAAATCCTTAGAAAAGCCCTTGTACTAATAATTTCTTGGTGAGGAGAAGGAGGTTGGCATCAGAGTTTTCCAAGCATCTTTGTCACCTGAAGAACATAGGCATCATCACCCACGGTGCCACAGGGGAGGTGCACAGAGCTGCCACTGAAGTGTGTGGATTCAGCTTGACCAGGGCTTTGCCACCTCTCTAATGAAATAAAGGCCTGAAACCCTCTGACTGGGGGCCCTCGGCCCTCAGTCCATTCACACCTCAATCCAGAGACAACTTCCACTTTCTTGGAGACCAATGTTTCACCCATCTGAGTCCTCACCTTAGCCCAGTTTTATAAGGATGTTCAGCGCATGCAACCCGTGTCTTCAAGCAAGGGGAAGGCAAGTTAAAGGGCAGCATTGGCAAAGTCCCTGGGTGTCTTAAGAGTCCCTATCTGCGGGACTTTCAAGCTCAGCACTGTGTGTGAAGGGCCAGCCAGGGCTGCATCCTAAGACTCTGTCTTTAAAACAATTAAGATGATTTCATTTAGCAAATGCTTTTGAGGGAGTGACTTTTTTTCTCTAAGCACAGACAATGACCACAAAGGGCACACACGGGTGACACACGCACACTGTTCACACACCTGCGCTGGTTATTCTGTGTCGCAGGCTGGCTTTCCCTGACGCTGATTCTGATAGAGAGATTTTTCACGCAGGACGTGTTCTGTAGGAGCTGTTGAAGGGAGCAAAGGCTGAACAGGGGCTGCCACAGAGAAGTGCTTGCAGCATGGCTTTTGGGGATAATCGGGAGACCTAAGCCTTTGCATTACTGCTGACGGGTTACAGAGTGGGCCAACCCGAGAAGAGACCATGACCGTGGGAGTGGTAGCTCTCCTTAGTTGGGGGCAGCGCTGTAGAGAAATCCAATGAATGTTGTCAGTCACTGACAGACCCAGTGGCAAAGCAGTGAACACTTCATCTCTGGGCAGGAGTAGGGATCCAGACAACACACCACAGCCTCCATTCCACACTCCTAACTGAGACTTCTCCAGGTTTAGCAAGCTTATAAATCCCCAGGAGAATCTTGTTAAAATGAAGATTCCCAGTCAATGGCTGTGGGCCTGGGGACTCTGTATGCCAATAAGCTCCCAGGTGATGTCAGTCTGTGGACCACACTCTGATTGGCTCTAAGGAAACTTGTCTGTCACCTGACACTACTTTGCATGAAGATTCTCAAGCGAGAGCCATCAGAACGTGTGGGTTATAGGCTATGTCCCCCCCCCCTCTAGATGAGGCATCTGTGACTTGCCAGGTCCCTTACAGCCGTCTTAACATCCTTGTTCCTCAGGCTGTAGATAATGGGATTTAACATGGGGGTCAGAAGTCCATAGAAGAGGGAGATGAGCTTGTCTGCAAGGTCCTGCTTGTCTGCCCCCAGGGGGTCCTTGGACTTGGGCTTCCCATACATGAAGAGGATGGTCCCATAGAAGATGATGACCACAGTGAGGTGGGCAGAGCAGGTGGAGAAGGCCTTCCTCCTCCCCTCAGCGGAGGGGATCCTCAGGATGGTGGTGAGTATGAAGATGTAAGAGACAAAGATGAACAGAACCGGGACCCCCAGGAAGATCACGTTGGCCACCCCCATGCTGATCACATTGATTGAAATGTCAGCACAGGCCAACTTCAGGACAGCCAGGATCTCACAGATGAAGTGATTGATGACATTGTCCCCACAGAAAGGCAACTGTACCGCAAGGGAGATCTGCACCAAGGAGTTGGCACCACCAGCCACCCAGGAGCTGACGGCCATGGGCACATAGGCAGCCTTGCTCATGACCACTGGGTACCTAAGGGGGTTGCAGATGGCCACATAGCGATCAAATGCCATCATGCCCAGGAGCACACACTCCGTGGCTCCCATGGCAAAGGAGAGAAACATCTGTACTGCACAGCCTGAGAAAGAGATTGTTTTCCTGGGAGTGAGGAAGCCATCCAGGACCAGGGGGACCGAGGAGGTGGTGTAGCAGATGTCCAGGAAGGAGAGGTTCCCCAGGAAGAAGTACATGGGCGTGTGCAGGTGGGCGTCGAGGATGGTCACCAGGATGAGGACCCCGTTGCCCAGCAGGATCACCAGGTACATTGACAGGATGAGCACAAAGAACGTTTTCTCCAGCGTTGGGTGGGCAGAGAGGCCTAGCAGTACAAATTCTGTCACCGTGGACTGGTTGGCCACTTCCATTTCAAACTCTGTCTTTCATCCCGAGGAATACTGAAGGCAGAAAATGCACGCTCATTATTTGACTTGCTGGAGTCAACACACGATGCCTTTCATAGCATCCAGAAACTGGCTTCTGAGGAAGGGCTGGTGGTATAGATCTTTCATCCCAGCACTCGGGGGGCTGAGGTAGGACTGCAAGTTAGAAGCCAGCTCAGCTACATAGTCAGGCCTTGTTCCAAAACAAAACAAAAACTTACTCTCTGAGATTCAACTGTAGGGCCAAGTTATCTAAAAGCCCATCTATGTGGCAGACCTGGAAAAAAAAAGAATTAAATTTAGTGATGTAAATGATATCTCTGTAGTTAATACTGCTTGGACAGCTAAAGTAGTGTCGAATGTTGACATACGCTGTTTCCTGCATGTTATAGGAGAGCAGGACCACCATGAGAGTAATTCTGTGTGCCGCGTGTTTGGAGACCTTGGGCAATCACAGTTCAGTGACCCTGGCCATTACGTAGCTCCTTGCCTGTACTTCTGAACCTGGGTCTTTCTCACACACCAAGTTCAGTTATAATTTTAGTTCCTACACTGAGAATATACTTGTTTAAAAACATAAAGTTTTCTACCTTCTTAATGGTTCTCTCTCTCTCTCTCTCTCTCTCTCTCTCTCTCTCTCTCTCTCTCTCTCTCTGTGTGTGTGTGTGTGTGTGTGTTTGAGTGGGTGTCTGTGTGCCACAGAGACCAGACGAGAGCATTGGCTCTTCTGAACCTGGAGTTAAAGTCAGTTGTGAGCTGCCTGATGTGGGTACAGACAACCAACCCAGGTCCTCCAGGAAAGCAATATGAACTCTTAACCACTGAGCCTTCCCTCCAGCTCTGTCTCTAAGTCAAAGAGTCCCTGTCCCCTGAGCAATGCAGGCTGGAGAGGAGATTTTCCCCTGTTTCCCTCATGACCATGCCTAGCTGCATCTTGACTGCTTGGAAATGTGGCCAGAGATATAGAGCCTTACCCAATTGTTGGGGCCTCCTCAAAATCCACATTTTTAGCTCCAGAAGGGTGGGCCCTTGAGTCCCCACATTGAAACTGGGAAGAAGAAAACGCAAGAAAAAAGGCCTTCCCACACCATTCGGAGGTTTGCAGACACACACGTGCAAACCTGTTCTGCCTCCCGGAGCCAGCACCTGTGCCACAGATGGTTACAATTCTGCTTCCAAATTGCTTCAGAACACCAACTGTCATAGACCCTGCACAGGAGAGACAAAGTGACGTGTGAGCTGGCTGCCTAGTACTGGTTATATGCCCTGATTTCAAGCATAGTACATGCCTGTAAACAGCACTTGAGAGGCAGAGGCAAGAAGATAGCTACAAGTTCAAAGCCATGCTGGCCTACATAGAGGGTTCCAGGCCAGTCAAGGCTAGTAGGACCCTGTCTCAAAAAGGCTAACCAACCAACTAACTAACTAACTAACTAACTAAATCTAAACAATAATGTGGTACATACACACAGTAGAGTTTTATTCAGTCATAAAGAAAAATGAAATTTTCAGGAAAATTGATTAGTGGACAAATATTATTTTAAGCATGGTAGCCTAGGCTTAGACATAAATGTCATATGTTCTCTCTCATAGTGAGTACTAGCCTCTGATTGTTAAACAGAGCAAACAACTGAGAGCAAGCATGGGAAAGGGCCAGGAAGCGATAAAGGAACCCATGCAATTTGCGGGGGGTGGGGGGTTTGAGGGAAGAGGCCTGGGGATAGTGGTAGAACAAAGTGGAAGAGGGGAGGGGGTAAGTAAGGGGGGCCGGGAGATGAGTAGAAATGAAATGTGTATTTAAAAATCCATATGGAAATCTATTACTTTATAAGCTAATTTTAAAAACAAATAAGAAGTTAGACTAAAACTGGAAAGCTTAAAAAAACAAAACAAACAAAAATCTACCTGATTGCAGGGTGTGGTAACTCAAGCCTATAAACCTAGGGAATTGAGCAGACAGAAGGATCATGAGTTCAAGACCAGGCTACAGAATGAGGCCTGGACTCAACAAACCAAAACCAGTTCTGCGTGGTGGCACATGCTTATCATCAAGTAGAGGCAGGTGGATCTCTTTGAGTTTAAGGCCTGCTTGGTCTACGGAGCAAGTTCCAGGAGAGCCAGAGCTATGTAGATAGGCCCTGTTTTGAAAAACAGCACCACCACCAATAAAACAAACAAAAAATACAAGAGAAAACAAACAAAAAAAAGCTCACTTAATATAAATAACAACAAAACTCTTGGTTTCTGTACTTCCCTCACAATGGCAATCTGTTTCTAATTTGTTTGATACACACACACACACACACATACACACACACACACACACACACACAAATATTTTAAATCTCTTAGCCAAGCATGATGGTACACACCTATAATCTCACCACTCAGGAGGCTAAGGCTAGATCATGAGTTTGAAGACAGTTTGGGTTACATAAATAGTGAGAACACGTCTTTAAAAAAATACACAGCTGGGCATGGTGGTGCACACCTTTAATCCCAGCACTTGGGAGACTGAGTTTCAGGCCAGCCTGGTCTACAGAGTGAGTTCTAGGATAGCCAGGGCTACACAGATAAACCCTGTGTAATAAAAAATAACAAAACACCCCAAGCACTGATAGACAGCAGTCCTAGAAATGTCACTAACCTGTCTCAGCCCCTGTCAGGACAGAGTTGGAGCAGTACAGAGGTCAGGAGGGGTTTGAGGCTTGCATGTGGTCCTAAGGATGGTGGTGGTGGTGGTGTGTGTGTGTGTTTCCTAGTCAGTCATGATAGTGTTCAGAATCTCAGGATATCAGTAGTTTGGGGATAAGGAAGAGCATCTTAAGAAAAGCCATCAGAAGGCAAAATTTCCCCAGATTGCCAATCCAGTCACTGAAGTCTCCTTCATAGGGGTCTTCTCCAGGCTGAATGGTTTTGTAATCTTGCTCAAATGTTTGAGGGGTGGGGTGCAGTACCTTGGTCAGGAAGTCTGAATTGATAGAGTGCTTTGGGGACATCAAATCTGCCTTGCTCTAACTTCTTTCTCTCACTGATCCTAAGTCAGCCTCCCAGGCTCTTGCAAGCGTACCTACCTGCTCCTTTGCAAGCTGCAACCTTCAGAGCTGAGCAAATCGCTGTCTTGTCCGTCCAATCCTAGCCCAGCCCACTCCAGGCACCTCCCTTCAGCTAGAGGAGAGCTGACCCAGGAGTAATCTTGAACTTACCCAGTGTGGGGTCCAATCACGCTGTGTTCATCACTTCCGGGAGCAGACTGGTGGGATGGCAATGTGGCCAGTGTACCAAGGTGAGGACAGGTGACTAGCTCCGAGTCACCTGCCCATCTGGGTGCTACCCAGCCATAACCAAGCAGGCCAAGCAAGACCCGTCTCTCAGAGGTGTCCCAGCACCAGCTAGATGTGCAGTCTTGTCGTGACATAAACTCTTTAACTATTGTCTCCCCTCCTGCTTCTCTACATGACTCTGAAGGTCAGGGACTCCAAGATGCAATCTTAGCCTTACAAGCTCATGCCTGAGCTTAGGGCTCAGGAGCAATGGAGAGGGGGTACTGATTCTCGAGTCCGAGGCTCCCTTGGGTCCCCAACCCATAGGCGCTGTGCTGGGACCAGTGAGCCACACTCAGCCACTAGACCCAGCAGCTCTGCGCTCCACCCTGCTCTCAGGGGCTCCAGATTCTCCACGGAGCTTAGGACAGGGTTGCTGTGGGGCTAGGTCCCATCCCAGAAGCAATTTAAAGTTTAGTGAGAGGCTCCACCCTTCAGTCCCAATTAAACACGTGGAAATGTACCTGGGGCTTCCTCTCAACACAAAGTTCCGCTCAACAAAGTTCTCGGGTGCCGGGTTCCCAGAATCCTCCTGGGGTTTATCCCAAGGATTGATTCAAGGTGACTGTCACCTCAGAGAACCTACACGTAAGAAAAGCTGAGCCTCGGGGATCTCAATGCAGTTTCCCCTGTCACCCACTGGGTCTCCCCATCCATCCACTGACCCGCTGACTCTCCCCACCACCAACCTCTCATCTCCCCGCCAACCTTCCCATCACCACAGACCATCTCTCTGCTACAGACACATCAGGGTGGATGGGAGGCACAGGGACCAGAAGTGGGGCACTGTCCTTAGAGAAGGGCCAGCAGAGTGGAATTATGGGAAGACCAGATACGGCTGAGCAGGCTATAAAGCTGTCCAGGAGGCAGGGTACTGCAGGGTGTGCAGACCTACCTAGTCCAGGATGAAAACTAATAGGTATAGAAGCCATGGTAGCCTTGGGAAACACTTAGAAGTTGGAGAAGGTGAGATTTAGAGAGCTACCTGGATAGCAGGTATAGGGTAGAGATGAGCCAGTGAAGGCTAAAACACCTACTAGGTTCAGGACACGCTCCCCAAATACGACCTCTTGGGCTACTAAGTGTTTTAAACTGAGGATGGCACTTACAGTTTGGATCTGAAATGTCCCCCAGGAGACATTGCTGTTCACCTAATCCCATCTTGGTACTACTGAGCTGGTAGAAACCTGAAGAGGCAGAATTTAGTGGCGGGTGTGCTGGGCTAGGCATGGGACTGGAGGAGACGCTGCATGCTGAGCACGGGGTGAGTGGCTGTCCTCCACCACATCCTCCCCACCATGGCCAGTTGGCTTGCCACAGATCCTGAAGCCAAATAACCATGGTCTGAAGCCTGTGAGCTAAAAATGTTTTCTCGGGGCCAGGCGTGTCACTCAGAAGGTAGAGTGCCTAACATGCGGGAATCTCTGGTTCCATTCTCCAGCATCACCTAGATGGGCATGATGGCTTGTGTTTGTAAACTAGCCCTCAGAAGGTGGAGGCAGGAGGATCAGAAGTTCAAAGTCATGCTTGGCCCTGTAGATCAGAACTGGCTACATGAGAACCCCGCCCCCGTCTCTGAACCATTTTCTCTTTATAAGTTGACCTTCTCTGTCATATCGTTCCATTATTAAAAGCTGATTAACAAGAATGCACAGGAAGGCA